CCCCCCCCCTCCCCCAGCCCGGTGCCCCTGGCCCCCAGCCCCCTCCCCCAGAACCCGGGGGTCCAGTTCCAGCCCCTCCCCGTCAGACCTGGGGGTCCCGGCCCCTAGCCTCCTCCCTCAGACCTGGGGGTCCCAGCCCCCAGCCTCCTCCCTCAGACCCGGGGGTCCCGGCCCACCCCCTTCCGCTCAGATGCAGGATTTACCCACGGCCAGGGCGGGGCAAATTCTCCACATCATCTCGAGGAAGGAGAACGTGGGTGGCAAGATGAGGCCAATTACCCCTGCAAGACAGAGAAGCACGGCCACTGGGGCTGGCGCAGCCGGCCCAGCAGGAGGAAGGGCTGGGGCCGGGACTCTCGGTTCTTACCCATCGCCCCCCACCCTGCCAGTGCCTCCTCCTGGGTGTATGCCTGGACTGAATGGTACTGGAGCAGCTGCTGGGCCAGCGGGACATCCCCATCTCGAACCTCTCGAACAGCCCGCCCGGTCACCAGGGACTCCAGGGTCCACAGCAGCCGCTGGTGCTTCTGGATCACCTTGGCCAGTCTGTGAGAAAGCAGGGGGTGCTCATTTCCCAATACCCCCCAGCTGCAAGACCTGGTGGATGCCCTACCCTGGACTACAATTCCCATGATGCCCTGGGGCAGCATCACCATCTACCAGAGGCAGCGGGCACCAAAGGCTTATGGGAAATGTAGTCAAGGAAACAAAAAACTTAAAGTAGCTCCTTTTTTTTTTTTTGGAGAGATTTTCACTGTAGGGCGTGTGCGCTCGCCAGACAGAGAGAGACATAGAGACAGAAAGCGAGAAATCACTCCCCAGGGGGGATGGTCACGCCGCAATCCCTTCTCCTCCATTCTCCTCTCGGGATCTTGGGCATGCACGCACACGCGCCCGGCGTGAATTTTAAGCCACCGGGTCCGGGACACGAACCACGGTAGACTACGTGGGAGTCCAGCGACATAGCCATTACGCTAACTGCTGGTTCCCAAAGTAGCTCCTTTTAAAGGTCCTGGCTACCAGTAAACCCTCAAAGCTGGGGGTAAGTTGAGCCTTGGCCCCTAACTTGAGTTGCATCTTGGGAAACTGAATCTTAGTCTCTAGCTGCCCCAAAGCAGCTATTAGGTTGCTGGGAAAGTCGTGAGGTATCTTTCTATACAAAAATGCGTCAAGACTTCCCCAAGGAGCCGAGAGGACCAAACAAGGGGGCTTGGGGGCCCCCCCAGCCACAGTGACATGCTGAGAAAGGAAGTCCCGGTGAGCCCCGATGCTGGGGAGATGGAGGCTTTGTGGCTACCAGGGCCAGCGACGGTGAGAAACGGAGCTTTGGCCACGGGAGCCCCAAAGGCATGCTGGGAGCTTTGGCTGAGCATGGCTCCAGTGACTGGGTGGGGGTACCGGCAAGTAGAGTCCTTATCCCCACAGTCGGCAGGATATGCTGGGGATGAGGTCTGGCCACCTCCCGCCGTCCGCAGCCTGGGCCATACCTGTTCAGGTGCTGGGCCCGAACGGCTCTGGGGACCCCCCTCCAGCTCTCAAAGGCTGTCCTGGCTGCCTCAGCAGCTGCCTCCACGTCCACAGCCTCGGCTTGCAGGCAGCTGGCCAGGGTCTCACCTGGGGAGAAAAGTGGGGGACACACATGGGAGAGGGGCTGAGATTCCGGGGGCTGGCTGGCCCTCAGCCCGGCTCGGCGTCAACTTTATCAGCGCTCACTGCCGACTGCACCCTGGGACCAGGAGGTCCACAGCCAGCAGCTTCAGAGGGACCAGAGTCTCAGGCAGCTCCGGCCTGACTAAGGGAACTGGGTGCCTTGGTGGGTCTGGCTGGCGGGCACAGCTGCCACCCCCTCCCCTAATGTCAGGACACCTCGTACCTGTGATGGGGTCCCGGCAAGGCACTGCCTTCCTGTGTTCTGGCTTTAACCACTCGCCATTCACGTAGTGGCCCAACTGCCGGTCCTGGGTGTCCAGCCAGGCCTGGGGGAGCAGACAGTGCAGAAAGGAGTCTCAGAGGCCGCTGGGGCAGCTCGAGACCTACTCAGAGTCCTCTGGGTGGGGACACCTGTTTCCCTTCACATTATCACTAATTGTTTTCCTTCTAGTCTTTTTATTTTTTAATTGTGGTAAAATATACATTACATAAAATTTACTACTTTAGGGACCAGCAGTTGGTGTAATAACTATCTTACTGGACTCCCATGTAGTCAACTACGGTTCAAGTTCTGGACCTGGTGGCTTAAACTCACGCCGGGTGTGTGTGCGTGCGTGCCCAAGATCCCGAGAGGAGAATGGAGGAGAAGGGATTGTGGAGTGGCTATCCTCCCGGGGGGTAATTTCTCACTTTCTGTCTCTCTCTCTGTCCTTCTGGCAAGCGCATGCACCCTACAGCAAAAATCTCTCAAAAAACAAAAAACAAACAAACAAACAAACAAAAAACCCTGCTAGGCCAGTAGGTGGTGTGGTGGTTACATTGCTGGACTCCCACATGGCCAATTATGGTTTGAGTCCCAGACCTGATGGCTTGGAAATCACACTGGGCATGTGTGTGTGCATGTCCAAAGTCCCAGGAGGAGGATGGAGGAGAAGGGATGCGGTGTGGCCATCCCCCTGGGGGTGTGAGTTCTCATTTTCTCTCTGTCTCCTGAACATGCCCTTTGGCAAAAACCTTAAAAAAAAAAAATCTGCCACAGTGAGAAGACATCCACGCCCGCCATGGGACACGGCCGCGCTGCAATCTCCTGTCCACTTCTCCTGCGAGAATTCTGGGCACGTGTGCATGCACTCTTGCCTGTGCTCAGGCCGCCAAGTCTAGCACTCGGGCCGTGCAGTCGGCCACGTGGGATCCAGCTACTGACCCATCACGCCAAGGCCGGCCCGTAACCATCTTAGACTGTAAGATTAATTCGGTGGCACTTAACTTTCAGGATGCTGTGCCACCACCAGCCTGTCTCATTCTAGGACATCTTCATTACCTCAAAGGAAACCCTGCGGCCACAAAGCCGTCACTACCCACTTCCCCCTCGGCCCCTGCAACCTCAGGCTTGCTTACTGTCTCCATGGCCTGCTCAGGATCTGTCATATAAACAGGACCATTAACTTGTGATCTTTCGTGGTGGGCTTCTTTCATTTAGCGGCATTTTGGGTTATTTTGTTGCCATAGCGTAAGTGCGCTTGCCAGAGAGAGAGCAACAGAGAGAGAAAATGAGGAATCACCCCCTCCTGGATTCCTCCTCCCCAGGGGATGGCCATGCCACAATCCCTCCTCCATTCTCCTCTTGGGATTTTGGGCACGCACGCACACGTGCCCAGCATGATTTTCAAGCTGCCAGGTCCTGGACTCGAACTGTGGATGGCCACAGAGTTCAGCACCTTAGCTACTACACCACCACCTGCTGTCTCCATAGCATAAAGGGTTTTTGTTTGTTTTTTGAGAGATTTTTGCTACAAGATGCTTGCTGGAGAGAGAGAGAGACAGAAAGCAAGAAATCACCCCCCAGGCCCAGAGGGGGTGGCAGCCATGGATGGAGCCGGCGCAGGATTCCGGAAGGAGCTGGTGAGCAGACTGCTCCACCTGCACTTTAAAGACCACAAGACCAAAGTCAGCGGGGACGCACTGCAACTCATAGTGGAGCTGCTGCAGATCTTCCTCATGGCAGCCGTGCAGGGTCCGGCAGGCCCAGGCAGAGGCGTGGACCAGCTGGAGAAGGCGGTCCCTCAACTGCTCCTGGACTTCTAGGGGCCTCTGTAGCCACTGGTCCGACAGGGAAGGACTCAGCCCAGTGTCCACCCAACCTCCAAGATGCCACTGCTTCTAGGATGGCCGCCACAGCCCCCCTCC